AGTCCATAATTGATGCTCGTAGAGGTCTTTCCGGAGACCTGCTCTCTAGGTAGTTCAGAAACTCGGACCGGGTGTCAGCGTTCTGCAAAGATTGCATCCGCTTGTGAAATTGCCCTTTGATGAGCGACTTTTCTGGCGAAGACTTTGATGGCATTGGATTCGTTGTGTATGGGCTGGGTATGTTTTCTCTCATCTTCTCTGCAAAATTCGCTGCCACCGCTTGGATATTTGGTGAGACATTGCCTTTTGTCGCAGGACTGGTAGAACCTGGGTTCAATGGCAGCGGCGGAGGTGCCCGTTCGGGATCCGAGCTGTCCCACCTTCATTACCACAAGATTAGCTGTCGATTGCAGACAATTCCCCTTGCGCTTTCAAAAGAGTGACTCACATAGGCACTGACTGGTGTCTGAGAACCAGCTCCCGATCACGGGAAGCATCGCGAGTATGAGACGACGGCATAGCGCAGGGTCCAGAGGTTACTCGTGATAAGTGGGATGAGTGGGTTAAGTGAGTTAAGTGGGTATCTTCGTAGATGCTTGCAAGAAATGAGATGTGTATCAGAATGAGAATTGCTCGGAATGCGCGAAGGGTCTGATCGTCAAATTTGAGGTCGTAAGGGCATATCAGATCATAAGAACAATAAGCAAGAAGTTAAGGAAGCAAGACCAAAATCAAAAACTGCGCTTGCTGCAAGTACGGAAACAGCAGGGTAAACAATGAAGACAAAGGGACAATGCAATGTGCGATGGGGGTTGAAGGCACGCAGAGGAGCAACTCTAAATTCTAGATACCTTTCGAAGAGGAGACAATCAATCACTTTTTAAGTAGCAGATTAAAGAAAACATGGAAGTGGAGTTGGCGCTGGTGCTGAGAAACAACGGTAGCTCATGGGGCATCGATCGCAACCCGGCCCAATCTGCGCTGTACACATCAAAGCTCCGTTGCCCGGCTTCATAGCAACCAGCGCCTTTGCCGTTGTCTAGTAAACAAAGCATGACGACGTCCATCTGCCAGCGGTGAGAAGTTTGTCCGGGAAGAGCGGGAGCTAGTCCCTTTGGAGAAATATCCCCAAAGCAGTCTAGCTGCGGCTGGTCGGTAAGCTGGCCAATGGGATCGGGGCACACAATTGTTCCATCTTGCCCTGAGCCCTCCCCTGCACTACTCTCAAGCGAAAAAAAGAACGTCGAACGCGGGAGACTCTTGATAACACGACCGAAGCACAATCGACAACAACCCCATCGACCTTGCGCTCCGCTCACCATGAAGTGTTAGTTGAATGCCGTTTCTTCTCGAGTTCTCAATTATTCGAATATCAGTTCATACTGACCGGATGGTGAAATAGTCATGAAAGTGGGCCGTGTGGCCATCATCACCCGTGGCCGTTACGCCGGTAAGAAGGTACGACAAGCCTTTTCTTTTTCCTACATGTCCTAGGGGGGAAATCTGGATGAATGATCTGGTTCGGAACTTTTCGATGGTCGATTTTGAGAGGGAGGGAGGGAGACGTTCTGGACGAATTGGGGGCGGGAGATCGATTTGGAATGGGATCAAGATTGGACATTGAGAAGGATGTGCTGACAAGGGACCTTTTCGCGAAATCACAGGTCGTCATTGTCCAGCCTAACGACACTGGCTCCAAGGCGCACCCCTTCCCCTACGCCATCGTCGCCGGTATCGAGCGCTACCCTCTCAAGGTCACCCGCCGCATGGGCAAGAAAATGGTCGAGAAGCGCAGCCGCATCAAGCCTTTCATCAAGGTCGTCAACTACAACCACTTGATGCCCACCCGTTACACTCTTGAGCTTGAGGGTCTCAAGGGTGCCGTCAGCCAGGAGACCTTCAAGGAAGTCTCCACACGCGAGGACGCCAAGAAGACCGTCAAGAAGGCCCTCGAGGACAGATACACCAGCGGCAAGAACAGATGGTTCTTCACTCCTCTGCGTACGTGCAATCCTTGCGTATTATCACTTGGAGTGAGATAGTTGTGTGCTGATTATGGTCTCTACACAGGTTTCTAAACGGGGTATTTTGGGGCGTTTTGTCGTTTGAGCGCGCAAGGTTCTAGATGAGGCAAACGGAGGGAAGAAAAAAGGGCATCGAGTACATTCGGTTCATGAGCATGGCATCAAACGAAAGAAGTATACCATAGCTGGATGCGGAACTTGGAATGTATCGATGCACAGGTCCAAGACTTGGCCATGTTTCTTTTATGAGGGCGGCCATCCAGAACTGGCGCCCGTCCTGAAATGAAAATATGAACAAATTCAATTCTCTTCTGTTGTCTCGATGTCTCGATTCTTGGGCATAATCATTGCAGTTCTCGGTTCATTTGCAGCAGGTTTACTAACAGATATCCAATTTGCTTACCGCTGCGAACGAAGATTGTCCCACGCTCGACTTGGCTTAATGTGTCAGCAGTGGTCCTTCCAACTTTGTACATTCCGAAATCCCGCGCCAGACCCTGACGATCTATTAGCCCAGATTGAAACCTCATTAACCTTAGTTCAAACAAGCCCTCGGTTAATCTCTCGTGATTTCAACAGCTCAGCAAATTGTTTTCAGTACAGTTGCCACGCCTCGGAAACAAGTAGAGACAAGCCTCAAAGATCCGAGGATACAGCTACCCTTGCCGCACAGTAACAGTAGGCGCATACCGTTCGAAGGATATGATCTGTGGCACAGCTCTGTGTCAAACTCGACGATACATGCGAGGATCCTCGCATTGCCTCGTCCGGGGTCCAGTCATACGGCTGTATTTCGCGGTTTCTAACCCATGGCGAACTCTTTCCGGGTCCATGTAAACTAGCTGCGATGGTACATTATAACCCATGTCGGGTACATTTGCTCTTTTTTGCGACGATCGTCCAAGGTCGTCTAGTGTTGCGAACGGGGTCCACCTGAGGCAAATTTTAATCCCATATACGCATGTCGGTTGGGTGATTTTCGAGATTACGGCTTCACCTACACACATGCCATGCCAACCATATTTAAGGCAATACTCAATGGAACAACATACCTATAACGCAAGAACATTGTTCAGTAGATTCCATTTACATGGTAGATGAGATCATTTTAGGCTCGCCACTCAACCTCTTATGATTTGCATCACTTGCATATGGATGGTTGAATATATATATCGATTGGTCAGGGAAACACCCCACGGCTCAGCAAGGCTCGTGGAGTTTGTCTTTGACCTCAAGTACCACGAATTAACCCAATTGAAACATTGGCTTTGGTCGCCAATCCCACCCCACAGTTTAGATAGGCTATGCAATAGCTTTCTGAACGTCGCAGCGCAAGCATTATTTGCCGTTACTGGACTGTTAACGGAGCGGGGACTAAAGGGTTTAGGAATAGCGCCAGGACATATTTCTATACAATTGTCATGACCGAAGAGGCGCAACAAAAGTACGGAGCACGACGACAGTCGAAACGACAGCATTTGGACTGGGTTGACGCAACAGAATGGAGATGCTGATTGACGCTCAGGCCGACCGATGAATCGAGCTAAAAGAACTTTACAGACGGGAAGAATCAATCAAATCGCTGGCAGGCTAACGGATCAGGCGTAAACGAATCACAGTTCTTCTCTTTGCAGAGAATTTTTTCGAAGAGGGCGCTACATGTTTCCTGGATGAGAACTTAATGAGATGCAAAGACATCCGGTGCCTTCTGTTAGTTACTGATAAGCTCCTCGTTTACCCCAGTTCAATGAAGGACAGTACCTTAGTGATGATGCATAATAATGATTATGCAGAAGGGATATCAATATATGATGCTGTCTTAATCCTTCGACTAAGTACCTATCCATGCTGTATACATTTGATAGCTTTATTGGGAAACCTGATAGCACTACTGGGCCTACTGGGCCTCATCTCCCAGCCTTTTAGCGATTGACCCACTATCACATGCTGCAAACCATCAAACCTTAGGTAGTGTCCTTCAATGGTGTCATTACACGTAACTAAATAGGACAGTTGATATGAATTCTTTGGCAAATGCTAAGGTACCTATTGTCTATTGATGTGCAACGTATGGATGGAAGGTATCGTCTTTAACCTTTTTTCAAGTGTGTAGAGTTCCAAGCGCCTTTGCCACACTACGGCAGTACTGATAACGAAAGCCAAGGCACAGGAACTGATAATCCGAGACTTTTTATCATGTTTCAGTGCTCAAATGGATCGATGACATGCTTAACGCTTCGGCCCAATGATTCGATCAATGGAAAAGCAAAAGCGGGTGGCAGAGAGGACTGAACGTCGAGGACCCCCCTGGCCGGAACGTTTCTAGTACTGTTTGCCCTCCCCTGTCAAATTAGATGCAGATTATCGGGCACAGAGACACGAATGATTTAAGACGAAATTCTCGGGTTCGGAGAACTCGACGGAAAGCTACTGGGGGTTCCAGGCCCTCTTCCGATGATACGACGATGACGGTAGGAGCACTGATAATGAGGTTATACACTTTCACCAACGGGAGCCCCTCCTTGGCGTCTGCTTTCAGCAATCAGGGCCCGCTATCACATGCAAAGTCAAGCTGCTACTGCTGCATAAGGAAATTAGGACAAAATAGGTACCTACTATAGAATGGGCGAAGAAATCGACAGGGAGGGAAGCTACTACTCCGTACAACACCTATCTACCATGCCATGACTGATTTTAGTATCGAGCGAAGGCAAATACTAACTCTATAAATACAGGAGAGGTAGGTACCTTAGTTTAGACTGACTGATTAACTGACATGTGCTGAAGTTCCTCCTCCTGTAATCTATATAGTCATCCAGATCCTCCTACACTTCTTATCTCCATTACCATTCCCACCACTCTCAAGCACCTACCTTTATCTCCCCCTCGTCCTAAGTAGCTTCTTACTTCGTGACCTCCCTCGGTGGATATATCCTCCCACTAAGGACTCCACAGCTCACTTCCTGAAGGTATGTTGTATCCACCTCATCTACCATCCTCTTTTTGCTAATTTACATTTCTTGTATAATAGACTCTATGCCTCACGCAGAGAACGGAACAATGGGTGAGCCTTCTATCAACGGCGAGAAGGTCCATTCTCACTTCCTCGATGTAAGTTCCCTCGAGATGCCTGCTTGATTGCGTGACAGTTGTCCGTGTAACATGTTACTGATCACAATGCGTCGTAGCACCTTACCTCGTACCCTGTCGTTTCTGATTCGATCACCGTCTTCAGAAGCAACAAATATGGTGCCAAGTCCTTGGAGTATGCCGACCAAGGCTACGTCCGCATCGCCAAACCGTTACTTCCCTACCTGTCGAAGCCCTACGGTTACGTCGCGCCGTATGTTGCTCGGGTAGATAGCCTCGGAGATCAAGGATTGACCAAGCTCGACACGTCGTTCCCCATCATCAAGGAGGACACAGATAAGATAAAAGGAACGATCTACGATACAGCTTTCTTCCCCGTGCGTCTGGCTGGTGACGTCAAAAGCCATGTCTTCGAGACGTTTGGATCGGAATACAAGAAGTGCGGCGGTGACGGAATGGTTGCAGGCGGCAAGGCTGCCATCAGCACCAGCCTGATCCTATCTCAAGAATCTTTGACCTATATCAGCTCGTTCCTTCAAACGAAGAAAACTCAGGCCAAGGAGGCCGTCAATGACAAAACCAATTAAGCGAATATCGTGGTGATACATGGTCACTCTTACTTCTGCTTCCTTTTCTTCTTCCTGAACTGTGGTCTCCTTTCGCCAAGATGTGTTTCCTTTTCTGTCTGTGAGAGACAAAATGCTTCTCTTTAATTCATTGTTCGTATGTTACTCTGGTTCACGTTTGGATACTCCTGGTGGGATTGTTTGTATCAGTCACAATTAGATATTTATATATTCTGATGAACACCACTCAAAACTCCAAAGCTAATCCAAAGCATAAGCGCCTGCTTGAACTGCAGTGCTCATTGTCAAGACATCACAGTTTTCAACACCAGTTCCCACAGAAGGGCAATGGATACATACGTCATGTCATTTTGGGATGCATCTACACTGAGAACAGACACATGCAGCCAGCACAGCTGTATTAGAGCTAAAGGCAGCATACCAATTGATTAATGTGAAGATCCAGTGTTCATCATCTACCTCTTGTCCCTCTTTTTTTCTTTCTTTTTTTTTTAATTTTTTTTTTTTTATTAATATAAAGGTTATGGGCGCTTGCATGTGATTTCAACATATAGATAGTGGAGGCCAAGAAAACGGAAAGGTTATTGTTACCCGAAGCGGATAAATCACGCCTGGTCCCACTATCAAAGTGACGGCGCGTCAAACGCGTCTGGCCAATCTTCACAGTGTCAGGAAACTGCCGAAACTGCCTAATTACATTGCGATGCGATATGACTTACTGACTACGGAGTAGTCCGCCGAGAATTATCTGCGTCTTCATCGCTATTCATCAATATTTTACATCCGCACCCTCGCCATGCCTCTAGTTCGCAAACGCCGAGCTGTGAGTCGCTTGCCACTTCATGACCAATCTGTTGCCAGACTAAACCAGAGACCAAACGTAGGAACAACAGCTCGAATCTGACAATCATGATGAAGTTTCAACTCCGGTTCCAGGCCCGGTCTCTACAGGGAATGCTCGTCGCCGTCTCAGACGCACGTCAGGCTCGGAAAGCGACGACGACGCCAACCCGGACGACACTCGCGCCCCGAGTTCTATGGATGTTATGGTTAAGAAGCTGGTCCGGCTAGCGCTGGCGAGTGAGCTCTCGCGGCAACCGATCCGCCGAACAGATATAAGCACAAAGGTCTTGGGGGAACAGGGGTCACGCCAGTTCAAACTGGTCTTCGAGATGGCGCAGAAGACATTACGAGAGACGTTTGGGATGCAATTGGCCGAGTTGCCGGGGAAGGAGAAGGTGACTATCCAACAACGAAGAGGTACGTGGCATTGATTACAAGGACAGCCAGATGACAAGAATGTTCTGACCCCGAACTAGCCGCCCAAAAAGTCGACAGGCCCTCGTCCACAAACAAATCCTGGATTCTTACGAGTACCCTTCCTCTTGCGTATAGAAAGCCCGAGATCCTTCCACCGACAAGAGCGCCCCTGGAAGGCACCTATACCGGGCTGTATTCCTTCATCATTGCCGTGATCCTGCTCAATGGTGGTTCCTTGCCGGAGCAGAAACTCGAGCGCTACCTCAAGCGTGCCAATGCTGACACGTACACGCCCATCGATCGTACGGACCGGTTTCTCCAGCGTCTATGCAAAGAGGGATATCTCATCCGTAATCGGGAGATGGACGGCGGAGAAGAAATCATCGAGTACATGGTCGGGCCGCGCGGTAAGATCGAGGTGGGCGTTCAGGGAGTGGCCGGGTTGGTGCGGGAAGTCTATGGTCGTCAGGGCGCTGTTGAAGGGGACGATTCCACGCCTGCGGAGCGAGCGCAGATGGAGGAATTCGAGTCGCGGCTGGCTCGGAGTCTAGGTATCAGGCGATCTGGGGCTCGGGTGGCTGATAATCAAGACGAAAGCGGAGATGAGGCACCAGAGCGAAGTCGAAGACGTCGCGGTGCTGGTTCTGATGACGAGGCAGACGACGACAGTGATGGTTAAGTTTGAGTGGCTCCGAGTTTGGCCTGTTATTCGTGTGCTCGTTATTATCTATGATAAATATGATACCCTCGATTGACTGTTTAAGTATACAAAATAAGAAATTATAGTTTCTGTATAGCCTACTGGTGTTCGCAGTAGGTGGGAGCATCTTCAACAGAAATATATATTCTCGACGCGTTGATCATATTCGGCACAATGCTCATTGCACATCCACCTTGCTAGCTAAATGATCTGCACCAATGTCTTCTAATACTGGCGGTATCACCTGTCTTCGCATTTTTCATCATGCTCAGCGTACATGGTAAGAGGATACCACATTTCCATCGATATAGTCAGAGGAAGAATACATTGGAATGCAAGCTCATGGGCTGTGATTTATGATTTACAGTACATCAAAGCAGCTGCATCTAGTAACAACATGAACGAGAACGCTCAACAGCATACAATTGAATAATCTATTGACCCAAAATGTATAGAGAGATATAGTCATAAGGTCGTATACCCGGAAAGAGTCAGCCATCGCCGTCAATGATCTACCTGCCCTACTCGCTGTCACTGGCACTATCATGTACCGACCCATTATCCCCCGTGTCCCGAAGACCCTCGGCCAGAATATATTCAGCCTGCTGTAGGGCGGATTTGATCTTTTGGTTGTTGTAGACCAGCTCAACGGGCTTCTGGCCGTGCTTGTTCCGTACGCGCGGATCGCAGCCAGCTTCGCACATCATTTTGATCATTCCGAGACCAAGCTCGGGGTCCTTTTCGTTGGCGAAGCGCACGGCGCAGTGGAGGGGGGTGTCTTTGTCGAGGCGGGTGAGGGGGTCACATTCGAAGTATTGGATGTCGAAGAGGACGTCCATTGTATCATCTGCCAAAGCAGATCATTATTAGTCTATATTGACATATATTGGATAGCGGATTGCACGGGGATCGCCTGGACCTACAGCTTCCGTACATCGCACAGATGTGCAGGGCATGGTTCCCCAATGCATCTGTCACGCTGTTGAAAAACTCCGCGACCTCTTCGTTCGATTTATCGCTCATTGTTTCCATGACCTGCTCGATCAGGTGAGGCTGGTCTCGGCGGCATGCCTCGACGACCAGTTCGCGGGGTGACGCGCCCTATCTGGTCAGTTCCTCAACTCACGATAGCTGGAAACATCACTCACTTCGTCCGCCATTTTGCTGAGTACGAAATAAAAATTGGGCTGTAAAAATGTCCAGTACCAGTGAGGATGATTTCAGATTTTGATATCCTTCTCACAAAACTGTTGCGGTGTGGCCTGGTGGTATTATGCGGGGTAGAATTGGAAGCTGTACGAAATAGGACTGTATAGGAGGCTGTTACGGCTGATCAGAGCAACAACCGCAAATCAGAAGACAGAAGAGGGATAACGAATTATGGTCTACAAGCTCGTCTTTGGGATCCTAAAGGTCTAATAGAATCTAGTGTAAAGGAAATTATCTAGACATTGAAGATTGAAGTCTCCTAAGATTTCCAGTTCTGCTGTTCCTTATCTATTTAGTGATACTCTTTAGAGAGAGGTCCATCAACTCAGGTACCTCGTACCTTATCCAGGAATTGCTATCTACAAGGTGCTGCCTGATAACCGCTCGGATGATCTATTGTCCGTTCCGCTGCATGTGCCCCGCGTCCAATCGGCGGCTGTCATTGTTATTTTGCATACAGGCGCGCGGCAAAGACTAAATTCCTCTCCGCCAACGACGTCGTCGCTTCAAGGCGTACGCCAGAAGCAGCTGCTCGATTATTGTTGAGACCTGAAGCCCTTGCCGTGAAATTGTCGCACAGGAGCAGGATAGTTTGCGGAGTACATTACTCGTCTGAAACAGTGTATACCAACCTATTGTCAAATTCCTAGCGAAAGGCTCCAAGATGTTGACATGTGAGTTGAATACCCCGCCAGCTTGATAGCAGCTCGGTAGAAAGATATGAGACTGACTTAAGCTGTTCACCTTGCCAGTTTGCCCCAATTGCGGCAATTCTCTGACCATTTCACGCGGCGAGCCAACTCGAGAGTATCCCCTCGGCGTCAACCGATTCGAATGCCGGACATGTCCCTATCAGCATCTGCTGAAGCACGGTAGACAGGAGAAGACCACCATGAAACAGAAGGAGGTGGAAGACGTCTTTGGAGGGAAGGAGGAGTTTGCGAATGCCGACAGCATGGCCAGTAAGTACTGGATGGTTACAATATGAGGTTTTGAGCTTTGCAGTGGAGGCTAACACGGGTGGTGTTTGTTCTGCGTTACAGCCCAGTGTCCCGCTGAAGACTGCAATGGCGATCGTGCATACTTCTTCCAGCTGCAGATTCGGAGTGCGGATGAACCTATGACTACATTCCTCAAGGTGAGTGTTTCCGTTCCCGCAGTCATGCTGCCAGCTGCATCATGCGCAGTGCTAACTGCATAGAATAGTGTACTACATGCGGTGCGCGGTGGAGAGAAAATTGATCATCGCCGTCGAGTGAGGGTGATGATAGCAATAATTGTGCTAAGCGCACTGCTCAATTGACTCATAGACTGATGACGAGGCGAATATGGAGCAAGGAAAAAGGCGCTAATTTTTTTTTCTGTCGTTTATTGAGCTTGCAGCAGTTGGGTGATTCGTTGTGCATAGACTGAAGCTTCAGAGATACCCCTCATTGTCGATTATCTACACGTGTAGCTGTTGATTATCTAGGCTCTCGACTATTCGGATTAGCCGCACCTTTTTTTACTTTCTGCTCTTGTTCTGAAATTCTTACCGCCTTTCTTTTCTTAGCAGCCACATATCATAATCATTGAATCTGGATTGGCTAAATTACGTAGCTTCGTGTGATCTACCAACTTTCAAGTGACTCAAAGAGGACCATTTTGGGAGTCCGACAAATCTAATTCAGTTCAACCAACTAGCCGATGAGGGGCATCTGCGCAAGGCTGTGACTCAAAATGGTTGGCGGAAACAATAATACAGCTCCCTAGCAACTGTATCGATAGTGGCGAGGTAAAAAAAAAAAATTCTTTCCTTTCTTGTTAATGTATCGTCTGTACTCAGAGTAGACTAGATAGGCTTCCTTTTTGCCATGGCGACAGTGAAAATCCTAATTGTGGGTCAAAGAGGGGCGCCACTCGGCCGGGCCACCGTGTGCTGCCCATTAACAGGCAAATAGAGACCATGAGCTGCCGCGGGGTTCTGTTACAAACATGGAAATCAAGCCCCTCGCTCGTAGTAGACTATATACTGCGTCGTAGTGTGTGGTACGTTGTAGTAGTAGATAGACAGGTTGTACCCCCTGCGTTGATGCCCAGTTTTCCAGTCCGAAATCCACTATAGACATTGGGAAAATAGGTAGGTACAGTGTAAAACAGTAGAGGGAGGAAAAAATTTTCTCGCTCCCTCCTTTCTTTGCTTGTAAAAAAAGATAGTGGATCCAGACTCGGAGCGCCGAAAGGACATGAACCAAGGAAAGGCAGGATCTCCCACCAGACAACAGCGCGAAAAATCTGAACGAAACAGCCCAACCAACTTGACAGTCCGCCGCCTGTGAAGATTTTGCGCTGGTCCCGCACCATCAGAGTGGGGCATTTACCCCTCCATGCCCAATGATAACAGCGGCTCGCCAAGGGTTTGAGCCCGCCTCTTAGTCGTTTTCTCGCTTGACCCCTCCATATAAGGATTTCCCCTCCTCCCCTCCCACAAAATTTTTCTTCTCTTCCCTCCTCGTCCGCTTCAGTACGTATATCTTCCCCTTCTTCCTATTCCGTCCTCTTCCTTTCTTTCATCTTTTCAACTAACATCTTCGCTCAGTACCTCTACGCATACTAGCCGTAGTACCTGAGCAATTTCCACAGAACTTCTCTAGTATCTTACAAAGAACTACAAGGTTCAAACCTAACCGTCAAAATGGGGTGAGTGAAAAGCCTTGTCCAAGTCGGTCCGTCATCAGACTGAGTTGGCTAACTTCTTATCTTCTCTCTACAGTAAGGAAGGCAAGACTCACATCAACATCGTCGTTATCGGCCACGTCGATTCCGGCAAGTCGACCACCACCGGTCACATGATCTACAAGTGCGGTGGTATCGACCAGCGTACTATTGAGAAGTTCGAGAAGGAAGCCGCCGAACTCGGCAAGGGTTCCTTCAAGTACGCCTGGGTTCTTGACAAGCTCAAGTCCGAGCGTGAGCGTGGTATCACCATCGACATTGCCCTCTGGAAGTTCCAGACTCCCAAGTATGAGGTCACCGTCATTGGTAAGCTTGACTCGTCCCGACGTGTTGTGATACTATAGCTAACACTATCTCAAGATGCCCCCGGTCACCGTGACTTCATCAAGAACATGATCACTGGTACCTCCCAGGCTGACTGCGCTATCCTCATCATTGCCTCCGGTACTGGTGAGTTCGAGGCTGGTATCTCCAAGGATGGCCAGACCCGTGAGCACGCTCTGCTTGCTTTCACCCTCGGTGTCAAGCAGCTCATCGTTGCCCTCAACAAGATGGACACCTGCAAGTGGTCCGAGGATCGTTACAACGAAATTGTCAAGGAAACCTCCAACTTCATCAAGAAGGTCGGCTACAACCCCAAGGCCGTTCCCTTCGTCCCCATCTCCGGTTTCAACGGTGACAACATGCTTGAGCCCTCCCCCAACTGCCCCTGGTACAAGGGATGGGAGAAGGAGACCAAGGCCGGCAAGGTCACTGGTAAGACACTCATCGAGGCCATCGACGCCATTGAGCCTCCCGTCCGTCCCTCCAACAAGCCCCTCCGTCTTCCCCTCCAGGATGTCTACAAGATCTCTGGTATCGGAACGGTTCCCGTCGGCCGTGTCGAGACTGGTGTCATCAAGCCCGGCATGGTCGTCACCTTCGCCCCCGCCAACGTCACCACTGAAGTCAAGTCCGTCGAGATGCACCACCAGCAGCTCCAGGAGGGTGTCCCCGGTGACAACGTTGGTTTCAACGTCAAGAACGTTTCCGTCAAGGAAGTCCGCCGTGGTAACGTCTGCGGTGACTCCAAGAACGACCCCCCTCTCGGTGCTGCCTCCTTCAACGCCCAGGTCATCGTCCTCAACCACCCCGGTCAGGTCGGCGCTGGTTACGCCCCCGTCCTCGACTGCCACACTGCCCACATTGCTTGCAAGTTCGCTGAGCTCCTTGAGAAGATTGACCGCCGTACCGGAAAGTCTGTTGAGAACAACCCCAAGTTCATCAAGTCCGGTGATGCCGCTATCGTCAAGATGATTCCTTCCAAGCCCATGTGTGTCGAGTCCTTCACCGACTACCCCCCTCTTGGTCGTTTCGCCGTCCGTGATATGCGTCAAACAGTGGCCGTGGGGGTGGTGAAATCGGTTGAAAAGTCCGCCGGTGGTGCCGGTAAGGTCACCAAGGCCGCCCAGAAGGCCACCAAGAAATAGAGGACTGGAGAGTGAAAACTTTGCTTGAACAATCTTCTATGAGATGTCATGAAATGACCTTTTTTTACGATTAAAATGGAATTAGAGTGAATTCATTTTCATGTCTCACATTTTTTGAACCCGTAGGGTGACTATTTTGACACATGTCCGTCGAGTATGTGGTGGGGTACAAGCCCTGTCACCCTCTGTAATTTACCCTGATCTCTGTAAATTACCTTCATCCTCAGGCATCCATTGATTTGTTCCGTATTGTCTATTGTTTCTTTGCCCTGTACTTGATTGTTTCAAACTTGATCTTAACCAGTGAACTACGTCTCTGCAAAGAAACTACGGCGGATGCTTCATGTCATGCTATGACACACAATATAAACAAGAATCTATTTCTATTTGTCCATGTCATCTTGCACGTCATCGCCAGTGTATAGATTGCACACAGTCACCTAACAGGCCAGTAGTCCTTTATCTGTGAAATCCTCAACCCTCTCGTAGATGATTGATGCCAGGCAACTAGAGCAATAAATGACAAAGTTCGGAAAGTTTTGCCGGCGTACTCGATTTATTGAAGCTCTATGCCCGGGTTCGATACAGACGGATTATTCGCTCTACAATAATTACCTGAACTTCATGAAACAGAATCAAACTGTGTCTACGCTATAAAGCGCTGGGAGAGAGTGAGCTGAAGTATGGTGAAGCTATCTACACTGATAACACATGACATGACACTAAGACGACAGGGAGGGAACTTCCAAAAGAGGCTCATAGCGGCTTTCGACTTAACCGTTACCAGGACCTGGTAGCCGGCTTCGTTGAATTCTTGAATGTTTGAGTGCCGCTCCATAGAGGTCTCTGACAGTCAATGTCCGGAGCAGAATGCTGGGGTTCATCAAGAACGGTCTCAAGCTGTTCTGCGCCCTTGATCCGAGACACAGAGATAACAACTTGTTAACTGGAGTTTTGTCTGGTAAAAAAGGTCGACAAGTCCTTGCCCGTTCAGAGCATTTTGGACAGGCCAATCTTCGGAAATCAAATTGTAGCCATCTTACAGAGCCTCCCGATCCTCGAGCTCCTGCAGATAAGGTAGGGCTGGTGTTTGTCATTGTGGTATTAGTCAGTCACAGCATGACCACACCTTTGTGATTAAAACACAGAAAGACTACTCTGTGTTATTTTGGATCAGAGTGATCACCTTTGAGTGTCCCAATTGGTTCAGCTTCAGGTTGGGTAGCACGGACTGCCGCACTGTAAATATACCGTCGTGCAACCTCTAAGGACCATGTGTCCTTCTCAATCAGAGTTGGACTTGCATGGAACTCCGCGGAGTTTCAATTCGACAAAAAAGTCAACTGTACGTACTCCAGCGCTGGGCCGGTGTGAGCTTGGTACAGCTTCTGCAGCTGATATGTGCTGAATGCGTTCGCCCTCGTTATTGTCCGAAATGTCGATGATCTCGTTGTCAGTGGGAATATTTCTGGTGGATCATAATAATCATCCATTGGTTCGTAATGCTCGTTCGAGATGGATTCAGGCGGTCCGTAGTCATCGTCCTGACCATTATCGGGCCAATGCTCAGGGGGTTCGTATTCATCCTCTTCATGTTCGTTGCGAATTGCTGGGACGGATACTGAATGGTGAGGATAGACTCCAGCAAGTAGCATATTGTTGAACGTTTATTGGCAGCCCACAGGGATGATACCAGAGTAGCATTATCATAGTGGTTGTTTTACCCGTGCCACAGGCATCAGCGAGGATGCCGCCCACAACCAGGCTCTGTTCCTGGGTGAGTATCTAACTAGCTTTTGTTATCTGCCAGGGCTTCAGCTGGGTCCCTGGCTAGTTCATCTGGCTTAGCATGAACAGCAGAGGGTTGTGCAGGTCCAGGGCCAAAGCCTGGCATACGCTCTCATACGCGGGTGCTGGTGCCGACAGCGACATGCGACCCTTCACTTCAACTCCAGTCTCCTGGGCCTTGGCAGTGGTTTGGTCCAGCTCAGCGTCATCTGCTTCATTAGCAACCATCCTGATCATCTCATTTGCCTGGCTCGGGGCCGCCAGACAATTGAGGAAGACCTGTGTGTCCGACCTTCCCACTGAGGTGTCGGTGTGTTCGTGCAGAATCAGCTTGCTTTCAAACTGGTCCATAGCCATCATATGCTTATATAGGAGCTCGCGCTCCACTGCTGTCATTATAATGACCTCTTGAGACTTCCAGAGTTTTGCGATCCCTGGAGTTTTCAGATTCTCCAATACAGTTTGCAGTCTGGGGTGGCGTGGATCTCGCAAGTATTGAGTGTCCTTTCTTCATTCATGGTGAGACGCATCACATGGCTCTCCAAAGATTTAGACGGGACCCCGTATGACTTAGCGAAGTGATCCTCTTTCATATTATTGACGAACTGAGAGATCAGAACCTGGCTCATTCATTGGGATGAAGTTTGGTGTTTGGCGCTAACAGGACGACTCGGCTGCATTGTCCATGGAGATTCAGGCCATGTGCATCACACTGGTATGAAGTGAGAAGCACGTTGCAGTCGCTGATGGCAAGACCCCTGCCACTGTGGTCGTCGCTCTCTATCACTATCATGGTCGGAGTTGCTGCCACCATCCGAGTTGTTACTGCCATCATCATCGTCCTCGCTGTTGCCACTGTCATTCGCGGCTGACCCCGTCCTCGTCACTGTCCGAGACCACATGTTCGGCAGATTTAAACTATTCCACATGTTGCATGGGTTCTGGGGGACGTATGTGGTAGGAAGAAGTGGACATTGCCTGGCATTTATTAGTGTGCGTGTGCCTATGATGGAAAAACGACAACTCACGTATGGCTGGTAGGAAAAGGTCATCTTGGTGGACCATCTCTACATGGGTCTCATTTTCTTCATATTCATCATCCTCGCTCTGAATTGCTTGGTCTTGAGTTCTTTCGGCACATGTCGGGCACACTTCAGGATAGAACATGGCCCTGCTATCTGTGCCGTATCGAGGACATGATGAAGTTTGGTGGTCGTCGACGATGCCCACATGTCTCTCCTTGGGAAGGGATAGGAAACGGTCAAAGTAGCCAGATTCAAGATCGATAAACATGATACACCTGCCCCAGTCATCGACAATGAGCCTTTGGAGCTCAATCTCGCGCCGTTCGAGGAAAAGCATGGTTGTCTGAACTTGCTGTTTGACCAGTTTGAAAACCACGTCGAAAACCACGTTGAAGAAGACCTTGACGACGAAGTTGAAGACGATATCGAAGACCCAGACTATATCCCGCAGTCCAGCGACGATGATTGTTGATATATGCGCCTACTGTTACCACATATCTCCCCGCACTCAACAACGAGGACTTGCCCTCCATCTTGAGGACAAGCCCGGGGTTATCATTCGAAATGGCCATGATCTCGTTGTCAGTATCTGGGAATATTTCCTGTGGATCATAATCAACTTGACCAAGGAGACCATTGGCCACCACAATCTCCTCAACTCAATACTTGGGAATTGTCCTCAAGACCACGATCATAGTCCCGCAGAGACGCAAAATCCGGATCCTCTGTATTTGTGTTGGTACTGGTTAGACAACAAACATCAAGACCGGTATTCCTGGCCAAGATACTAATGATTTCAAATGCCTTTCCTGTTTGTTCATCGGTGGGCGCGATGTAGAGGGCATGAGGACCCTCAACATGTGGGATGTTAAAGAGCTCACCCACAACAGCCACAAGACTTAGCAAACAGCTGTCGTCTGTCCCTGAGCCGCTCTTTCGGAAATCTCGTTTGCCCGATCAAAACAAAGCTGATGAACAGTCAGTATCTTGCAGCTGAAAGTGGAGTTCCGGAGACGAACCTTTTCAACGGCGAATCTGCAAATGCAGATCCGAAATACATGTTTGCTTTCGAAATTTCAACGGACCAAAAGACCGACCCAGAGACTGATGAACAGTCAATATCTTCCGTCTGGATGTGACGCTCCGAAGATATACCTTGAGTTTTGAACCTGATATTGAACTCACTGTTTCCAGTGAGGTGAATGGCATGCTGATTGAACAGGTGGATCAATAGCAGGCAATACTTCAATGTAAAGTCAATGAAGAGTATGCTGCAAGAAGATACAGATCATAGAGGATATATACACTTGGTAATTTGGTGGCGTCAAGTTTCTAATACAAAGAATGCAGCAGTTACATGCATCCTTCCAGCTTTAGTACACCACCGGCGGGATTCTCGACACTCTTACTATAAAGTGGCCAGCGTCAATCTTCAGGAATGGGCTTTTAGATGTCTAGCATCGTCTGTAGTGGAAGCGGTAGAATATTCGATATGTGAGGAGTGTCGTCTTCAGCTCAACCACTCTGGAATAGACCGGTCAAGTATATTGCTTTCTAGTGCTACTGGCAACATCTGTAAGATAAAGGACACCATATCTAAGGCAGCATGTCTGACTATGCAGCTCTTTTATTACGATCCCCTCAAACTCTAAGCTATCATCATACCGCAGTAAGCCTTCGCCAGTTCTGATAGAAGAGGAGGATGAACGCGCATTCTTGTAAGCTTTCTGAAGTCGAAAGTGATTTGAAAGCTTTCTTGATATACGGAATTCACAGCTAAAGCATCAAGTTTTATACTATGATGAGAGTCTTCGGCTGCTCATTTCCGTCGTGTCTTGCCGCTCCTCTTCAGTCCACTCGTTCAATGTCCTCCTCCAGTGGTACGGCATTTGGTCCTTCCTCAGATAATAAGAGTAATGGCTACCTGAGCTTGAAAGTCTGTAAAGCCCATTGTTCAGTTCTAGATAAACAGATGCAGAAACAGTAGTGCAGGATGAAGATAAGGTGGACTAGAGAACCTGTCCTTCCGGAGGAGTGTCCAATGAGGATATAAGGCAGCGTGTCATTTCACTGACTCTACAAGATGCGTAGTTATTCTAGCAGTAACATATGGCGTCTTAGACAATCAACTTTCAGGCAACGAGAGAAAGTTATCAAAGGACGTTTGAAAGTTGTCTTCTGAACAAGCTATTCTTCGTTCCCTAGAGTCAGTAAATCCTCCAGATCGCTAAAAAAACTCCAAGATTTACTTAGTTGCATACAGTAGGGACTGATCAATCTACTACGAGTTCTAGCCAACCAGGTTGTGGCCTGCCTTGAGCATGGGATCAGTTGGGAGTTTTATAGGACACAGCACTGTAGAGATTAGGGCTGCTTACAGCTCAATAGCGTTTCGACAACAAGAGTACACTTGGTTGGACGCTGGTTGATATCAACAGGAAGTAAAAATATCAAACAAGCAGTAGCACTCTGATAGTTTTTAGAGAGTGAGTCTCGACATCTACTGCATTATATCACCTCTTTCATGGTGAGCGACATTCGCCATCCAAACATACGTCCCTTTCTTAAAGCTTACATTCACTGCCTGCTTTTATTGTTGGGTTTATTTGATTCACTGACTATATTCACAGGCAGCACTTCAAGCTTAGTGAATATAAGTTCTCCCTTGTAAGTGTAGCAAAAATAGCAACCTCAGAGCTCTACTCCGTCTCCCGTCTCTGCAAATCTTTACCTTTACCCTACCATCGCCGACTATTTACATCTGTTGAGCCCAATTCCTAAACCAAACAACCTATACATCTACTCTAAAGTTACGTGGGGATAGTCTCCTTCATTGACTGCAAGAGTATACCTTTTGAGGCGGCTATGCCAGCAGCGTAGATGCAAGAGGCGGCACAGATTGTTGCTTGGCTGATGCAAAGACATCGCCCTGAGTCTTCCGAGGCCGGAGGTAAGTTTTCATCATTCATCATCAATACTTGTCAGATCATCACACTGACATGCGGTGAGATAACAGGCGGAAGGCAGCAATGTCAGAAGAACGGCTCGCTGCTGTCCGGGAGAGAAGCTGTGCTGCTAGAACATGCCAAGGCAGCGAGGCGAGCTCATAGAAGGGACCAAATGAGAGATTAACCGGCCGAGAAAGCTTTGCTTAACCCCAAGCCAAAGCGCATGGTCCCTACAAAGAACCAGAAACGGAACGTCAGTCAACCCTTTTGTCTTTATGGCTGCATGCCTCTGCTTGTCTTTTTCTCATGTCTCTAGGCACTGAGAACGTTCGAAAGTTATCGATGCTCGGAACAGGGTTCCCTCCTGCACCACATCCCCACCACACGTCCGATCATTGTCGGTTTGGGAGGATGTCTTGACCTTCATATGCTCTCAGTCATGACTATCGTCAAGAACGGCGGATAAGTTATAGGACGGGTCACGATCATCGAGTGCCGTTGATTCAGCAACCATTGTTTCCTATTCTTTGATCACCGCATGATTGCTGGTAATGGGCTGCATGTGGACAATATGGGTGGCTCCTCAAAGGGATCAGGACGGCCAGCCACCCACCCACAAGTACGCAACAATGGCTCAACTGAATATAATCGAGATCATAGCAACGATCGGAATTTGGCTGACAATCTGTTGGACAATACTCTACCAACTGCTACGAAAACTGAAAGGCCCTGTGGAGCAACACTCACACGTTTAAGTCTTCAATGAGGCCGGATACTCGGGTTATAATCACGTTTGAATGGCCAGTCTCTATATGGGCCTCTATGGACAGGTTTGCTTTATATCAAGTCAGCAACATCTCAATTCGGAGGCTTAGCTTCATGTCGTAAACCATATGAGAAACCCGTTTGTCTAGGGTATAGCAACACCCATTGGTTCATCACAGCAGATGCTAATTATTCACAGGGAGAATTATAAGAAATCAGAAGCCCAGAAGGAGAGAAATAGGTCAAAATTGAGGGCCTATTCTGAACAATATCGCATTAAAAATGCAGACAAGATCAAGGGAGATGACAATGACTCTGATGATGCTTCTACGCTATATCATTCGGAAGAAGAATGCAACCCAGTAACGAGGACAACTTGACTCTGAAGCTGCAACGATCACCCTGATTACGACCTCGAATGCCGAGGCACATCTCCACGGAGGTAAAGATGAAGCCACTAGAACGGTCCCAAAAAGCAGCCAAAGAGCTGAAAAGTTTCAAGCGAATGATTACCCGAATAACTAAGGTAGCTCGAATACTATTCTGTCCTGACTGGACAATCGAAATCAAAAGCAGTTTGAATACACCTGGCTAGAGAGAAGTCTATGTATTTACTCATTACTGCAATGGACAATTTCTTCATGAATGTCAAAGAATATCAGCTACCTAATTCACCGAGTCTAACGACGCATGATGGCCGCAGTGGAATACGAAATCTCCTGCCCAGTATATACGTAGCGGTCCCAAATCCGAGCTATTGCTTTCCTCAACCTTTAGTGTACTAGTCTCTTTGACGTTGATCAGGACGGATACTGCCTTGCTTGATCGTTAGGAGGGTGCCAATTTGCTTGCATTCTATCTCTCACGAGCCTACTAAACATAAAAGTGATCATTCAACACCAGCGATTGCTGGGTCATATTCATTTAGCTACCTGGCTATCTCAACCGAGCAATCTCAAACACATGACAGCAACACTTCCAGGGCGACCTCAGAAAGGAAGCAACCGAGCCAAACGGATGTGTGGAATTTCCGTCGCTGTTTCTGTCGTAAAAGATCAAAGCAGTAGCCAATCAACCTCCAGGAAAAACGCATTTGCAGAATGTAGTCTGGCTCATATGGATATCTAACCCATCTATTCCGGATGGTCCGTAAAGTTGACAGATAAAGGAAAAACGGAGAAAGCAAAGCCACTTGGGCCATCAAGCTTATGAAAGCCGGTCGACGGCGAAAGATCATTATTCTCGCCCACAAGGTCTCGTCCACAAGGTCGTCGTAGATGGAGCCAAAGTTTGATCATATCACTTGTAATAGGGTCAACAAAAAGGAGCACCAGGTCTTGAAACACTCCACGGATTGATGGCATGTACAAAACGGAAACAAGGTAGTATATGCAAAAGTTGGGAAAAGAAAAAACAAATAAACTCCAGTGTCATGCATCTTGAGGACGTTATCACATATCAAAATTATCATCAACGTTGAAGATGCCCGGCTCGCCGCCGTCGTTGTTCTTGTGGATGCCACTCATGCGCTGGTCGGTGGAGCTGCCGTGGTGGTGTGCCCGCTGCCACGTCTCCGGATCCTCGTCCATGTGGTCGCTCGGGTCGTGCTTCATGTGGTGATCGATCGAGTTCTCATTGACAAAGGTAAAGCCTTTGAAGTTGGCCTGCATTCCTGGCGACAGTGGCGTCGAGGCGGGCATGAATCCATTAGCCAACGCAGCGGCACGATCATTCAGCGAGGCACTGTTGTCAAGAGCGTTGGTGAACTCGGGATCAAAGTTGGACGTGTCGGTGTCAGACTTGAGCTTGGGCTTGAAGGGCGGGATGACATCTTTGCGGGCGAGCGCCTCCCAGTCGAT